CTGAGAAAAGAAAGCTAAGCACATCCAAATGCATTTGCATATGATCGCAGGAAAAAGTGCAGTGTAATCATAAATACGCTGTTTGAACATGAGAAAGTCATAGAAATGAAGAGATCGCTCTTTCCCTTTTTTCTGTGTGAGTGATCGCCTGATCGATCATTCCGTCGCTGAGTGATGGGTAGCAAAACAATGTAGAAAACATTTTGTATTTATTGCATAAAAGGCATCAAAACAACAACTGAATAGTCTACGTTGACACCGTCTAAAGCAGCAACAACAAAAGTGAGTGTGAGTGTGTGTTTGCGTGTGTTTGTTTGGCGGGCGGTGTGGTGTACGGTAGATAGCTAGACACAGAGAGTGAGAGAGAGTGGGAAAGAGAGAGAGAGAGCAGAGCTTTCGACGCCGACGCTCTGCCTTCAGTATCGAAAACGGAGAGAGTTGGGGCTCGACCCCCGTCTCTCTCTCACTCTCTCTCGCTCTTCGAGGCCTCTTTTGGCTCTGCCGCCGCTTCCTTCCTCCATTTCCATATTGCACTTTCAGTTGAATTTCGAACGTTGACCGAAATCGTTCGGAATTTTATTTTGCCAGCCGAGTGGGAAATCCGAATACCGAATTCGCATTCGAATACGAATCGTAGATAAACATCCCGAATATCCAGAATTTTTGTTTTGTTGTTTGCTTTTTTTTTGTATTTCGCCCGCCGAATTTTCCAAACAATCGATCGACGCCACGTACACGATCAGTCAGATCCATTCCAACTCCAGATCTCGGTGACGTCGTTGTCCGCCAAAATAACAGCTGATAAGATACTTATCGCTCTACCAGCACCACCACAAACACCCCCGCGCCGACCGACTCTCCACGCCCACTGGGCGAAAGAGCTTAACCAGCAGCAGCGACGCGGCGCAGCATTTGTGGCCTTGTAATCCGCGGCAGCGCCAAAATGCCACAGCCGAAGCAGCAGCAGCAGCAGCCGCTGCAGAAACATTCCAGCAGCAGCTCCAGCTCCAGCTCCAGTGCGGCTTCCAGTTCCAAATCGAAATCCACATCCACTTCCAGTCCGAGTCCCAGTCCAGTCGCCGCCGCGATCACCGCCAAGCGGGAAAAAGAACGGGAACGCACGCAGACGATCGGCGAAACCGACATGGATCAGTCGGTGCTCAATGGACTGGCCGTGGGCACGGATATAACCGCCGGCTACCATGGTCACAAGCGAGAACTGGGTCACAGGTGAGCAGATCCGCGGAAAATGCTATTCCATTGCGTCCCAAAAAATAGTCGCTAATCCTCTATAGAGCACTTGAACCTGTGCTCCAGTTTTCAACGGAATGGGGAAACAGTATTTCCATATCTAGCATAGTATTTAGAGGTTCGAAATATTTTATTGCAACTTAAGTAATTGTAAACATGTTTCATACTATCGCTATCAATTTATACCGTCGTACTCTCTCGTTCGTTGAAGTTTCTTGATATCTACATATGTAAAAGGAGTGATAAATACTAGCTGATCAATGCAAAAGATCATTTGCAGCTATGATACGCTTGAGGTTCCGAACTGGTCTTTGATCCTAAATCCCAGATTGAATAGCTCATTTATAGTAGAGATATTTTAGACGGTTCTGGAGGGATGGTTACCCGGGCTTATTGTAATTAATATGCAAACTATGTAAGCGATGATCAGTAATTGTGACGTAGATTTAAACTGATAGCTCATTGTCTTGTTTTTATTCTTTGAACATTCTGCCCTTTGTTCACTATCAAATAATGGTTCCTTTGTTCAACCATTCATGCTTCTATAGATATTTGTTACTATGAAGGCATAATAAGAAAATTATGCTGTTTAAAGCCTCATTCAAAACGCATGTTCTAGAATGAATCATTCATTTCGGATGTTTCTGGAATGAACATTTACGTATTTATATTTACTTCTTCGTACCAGTGCTTTGAATACTGCATTAGTTTCTAGGGTTACTTAACATATGTACATTCAAGTACAGAAATACTATGCTACAATGTACTTAGTGTGTAAGGCCCGAAATTCAGTGAATAGTGTAGCTATTCACTATGTACCCTGTACTCTTGAGGGAAACATTCCGCCTTATCTTCATTTCACTGTGACTCACACGCACTCCGGATTAGTAGTGATATATAAATTATATCACCTGGCGTATTTATTAGCATGACTATATGGTGCAAAATACGTGGCAAACCTTTGGCTCTAGTTTTTGGTTTTCCGAGCTTTCAACTCAGATACGGTGGGTGCTCTTATCGCTGTAATTTCGAGAGGTCCTCTGGGGTCAAGAGGTGGCCAGTGATGGAGGGAGGGAGGAGGGGGTGTTGGTGCTATTTGACAAGACCAACAGCTGTTTACAGTTATGAACATGCCCTTGACCATGGCGCAGCAGCACAGTTTTACATTTCCCCCCCATTTAATTGGCAGACTGCCTAATTGCTGCCACTTTCCCACCGCCCCTTTCGCTCGCCGCCCCCCGTTCGATCATTTAATTTCAGTTTATTTGATTTCCTCGCTTGTGTGTCAATTAATGTAAATTTCTGGCTGTCAGCGCTTAGCCAGTTGACTTAATGAGTCGCCGCCGGTCTAATCTCCGCCTGCAATCACAGCATTTGGCCTGGGCTAGATGGTGATGCCTCAATCGTCATCGTTTGGGGCTAAGTTGGGGCATCGTTATGTTGCGCACTGCTTGTTTGCTGGGCAATATGTTTCTCAAGGCGCCATCATTGCGCTTAACCCTTGGCCGGTGGCTGGGGCTTAATTCCGCTGCAGCTACGTGACCTGCCACTCCTGCCCCACGGCCCTTAACCCATGCTCCCTTTGGCGATTTCGAATGCAAACAATGTTAGCCGCTGCCCCACTGCCCCTTTGTACCTGTACCTGTCTCTCGGCCAACTTCACCTTTAGCCAGCTTCCCTTGATTGTCTTAAATCAGACATGACCTGCCCTCTGCTCCACCACCACCCAGATCCTTCATCCCTTCTGCGTTCGCCTCCGCGAGGGTCACGTAGCTGGGAACTTTTATTGCGTAGCCGGAAACGGAAACGCCGCGAACATTCACGACAGGCGCAGGACGAGAATGGGCAGAGGAAGGGGCGTGGCATGGCCATGGAAATGGCAGAGAGAGAGGAAGAGGGCGGGGACGGGGACGGGGAGCCACTGCAGCAGCCGCAGCAGGAAAAACTTTAATGCAATTTGCATTTCATTGAAATTCACATGCTAAATTTATTTTAAAACGAGCTGGCCTTTTCTGCTCGCCATACACACAGATGCCACTGGCTTTTCCAATTTTCCAATTTAATTGCCACAACTTTTATATCGAACCCATTATTATTATTATTATTATCATTTCAATTGCTAATTCATGCACATTTTCCAGTGCAGCAAAAAGGGCGTGTTAATAAAAAATTTTCCTGTTCGAGGATCATATTTAACCATTGTTTCTACTACATTTTAATAAGCTGAATCCGAAATCTGTAAAAAACACATTGTGTGCCATGCTTGAATTGCAAATGTTCATTGCCAATCTACCTTTGTTTAATTTGTATTTTTAATTCGCGAATTTAAGAATGTCATTTTAAATATAATGTTATTTAAAAACATGTCTTTTTAAAGCCCTTTTACATTTACACAGCTTATTTCTGGCGCTGGCCAATGTGAATAGAATATCAATAATACATGAACAAATATGTATTGTATTAGCACAAAGAATCAAGATAACTGAGTGATTCAGCTCTAAGTAGAGATAAACAAATACATAAATTCAATCGAGGCGCACAAAGAACTGGAAGAATGTAGATTTGTAGATGCTTAAATTTCGATAGATATTGCGCTGCTGGTAAATAAAATAAACTCATACGCTTTCTGTACTTAGCATATGTATATAGATATTCAAATGGCACACTCTTTTCCGTTTACCGCCGCCCGCCCACACGAAATCGAAATCAAAGTCAAGGTCGTTCCGAGCCACGCCCCTTCGCCCCTACGCCCACCGTAGCTGATTATGTTTTGATTGGACGCAGGCTAAATTATTTGATTAATGGGAAATGCCAGAAAATAAACAACATTTGCGGCAAATGTCACATTTGCAAATTGGAAAATCCTCCCATATTTGCAAAAGCCCATGAATATATCGGCGTACAAATGCTGAGATACATATGTATGTATATGCATCTCATGCATATATGCATCTGTATCTGTGTGTTTTTGGTCGTGCATTGCAGATACAATTGTATAATACACCCATTATGTGGTCAATGTAGAATTTAATTTGCCATTTCGTTCTCGATTATGTCGCGAGTTTTGTTTGGCTTTTATGCAAACTGACAGCAGATGATTAGTGGGCGTGGTTCTGTGCACTCGATGGCCTTGATTCGCCTTGGCACTGCGTCATTAAAATGCAAATAACAATTTGCTCCTTCGACTAAGCGCTGGCAACGCGTGCAGAACGTGTGCTAGGATCCTCCGGCGGAGGAGCGAGCAGGACAGGGGGCAGTAGAAGGAATCTCTCCTGCTCCTTCTTCATCTACAGGTGCACAAAAAGTTTTCCAACAGTTGACTGCAACTTGGCATTCAACAATGTTCCAAACGCGTGCTTTGAACGGGGTTGCGGTTGCTGGTCGAAAGGCTCAGCTTTAATTTGTAATGGTCACATTGTTATGCCCAACTGTTGCACTTTGTACGCTGGTCACTCTGGAATCGCTCAATTCAACCGAAAGTTCTTTGAAATACATTTAAAATATTGCACTCGCCACATTTGTAGTATAGCCCATTTAACCTGCTATTTTTATCAACTATTTTTTGGCCAAATGATTGGTGAAACAAAAAAAAATGTTTCGATATGGATTTTGAAGATTATGGCCAATATTACATTATCGTAACAATGGCAATATAGTGTTAATGGCTCACTCCACAATGAAACCGGGTTTCCCATTGTGGTAACCATTGTAGAAGCAGAACTAGTTATCCACTTGGTCACACTATCCTTTCGTTTTTGACACTTGTAAGATAACCGAATTGTACACATCGACTAGACGCAAGTGATGACTGTATTCCTATTGAAGAATCGCCCATCCTGGCAGCCCTGGCTGTGTGAAGGCTGTGTGCCTCGGAAGGGACCTGGGCTAATACTGCGCTACTACAAGCACAAGCCCGCCTTCCGTCCCACAAGTCGGGATCCCATTACTGAGGCAGCGGATTGCGTGAGGAACAAGTTGCAGGACACACGGAACAAGCTCCTGGGTCTGCTGCAGCGCTTCCAGAAGGTGGACTGCATCGTGGAGAGGTCCCGCCGCAGACGCAATCCCTTTCACTTCGTGGATTCAATGTCGGTGGCTTACGACGACATCGAGGGTGATATGTTGGACGGCATCGCGGGTTGGTCCGATCTCGAGGACACCGACGATTGCTTCAAAATGTAGGACCACCGAGCCACGGAACTCGCGAACTGGATGGGGGCACTAGTTACCCAAATAAATATCGGTAGTCTCAATCTGTCGGCTGCTCTTTCATGGGGCTCGGAAATTGGATTAACCTCAGGCACAATGCAATTTGATTAAGTTCGTTTAGATCAAATTGAACGCCACAGCATCGCTGGCGAGGATGCGGGCCCATTGCTCAGCCCTTGCTGCCTAATTAGCTCCGTCGCATTCACATACTAAGCCGTAAGCCGCCCTCAATCAATTACGGGGGCCATCTATTAGGCAACCACACACCCATCCCCGCCGGTCCACCATTCATCGGAACCCTTCAGCGGTCTGCCAAGGTCGCACGCAATCAAGCCCCCTGACAATGAAATTGAAAGTGTTTGCCGCCGAGTCGCAAAAGTAGAGAACAGCTGAATAGAAGAGCCGCACCATCAGAATGGTGTGCCACGCATGACTATGATGGGTCCGGTCCGGGTTCCAAGTGGATGGTGCCCATGCCCATGCCGGTGTCCGGCGTGGAACTCGAGCACGGCGGCTTGTTTGGATAACGCTTTTTTCGGGGGGGCTCAGTTCGTGTTCGCCTCGAGCCCAGTCCGGGCGATTTTCTCCGCTTTTGGTGGCCAGGATTCGATTATAGTGCGTCTCTCCCTATCCACCGACCAACTCCCCAGCGTCTTAGTTGTTTTTTCGCAAGTGTGTGTGCTGGTGTGTTTGTGTGTGTGTGTGGCTGGCAATTAAGGTCTTAATTAGACGTAAACTCGTGTCGGAAGTGAAATGCGAATTGCTTTGTCACAGTGCTCCGGACAGGCTACACTGGTCAGCAAAACTGCGAACTGCTGTGTTCTATATAACATTATCATGCCGGGTTCTTGGTGCATCACAAACTGATAGGTAGTTCCTATATAGAATATAAGGATTAATTGGCCTAGAAATGATATGAGTGCATTTTAACAGCTGCTAATCGTATTCCATAGGTAAATATTCAAAATTACTTTGCATTCACTGCAAAATTAGCTTTGTAGTGGCAATCAGTCCTGCGGCTTGCCACATGTGTGCCTATTGGGAGCTCCCTGCTTGTGGATCAAGTGAATCCAATAGGTATTCCGGGTGTCCAGTGTAGCAGCAACACATGTGCAGCTCTTGTGTCCACAAATGGGTGTGTGCGTGTTGGGCACTGGCTATTTGGTTTTGTGGTTATGCTTATTAAGTCAATTATCGCCCAATTGCGCCGTCCTGGACCACGTAGGTGACCGCTGCTCGTTGGTCAGCGGCTTTGATGATGGGATACTGGATCCAGCTCCTCCAGCTCCCCCAGCTCCTCCAGCTGCTCATGCCCAGCATCTCCTGAGCTTTGTAGCCACACCTCGCTTGTTTTTGTTTGGCATTTTGATTTTAATTGGAGCCAAAACACCAAAGGACTCTTATAAGATACTGACACGACCTTGTGGTGTGAACTGAGTTTTCCGATGCGTGTGTGTGTTATGTGTGTGTGGTATTTGGGGGAGGAGAAGGGGATTACTTTCGGCCTTGTACCGAAAAATGTCGATACGCTTATAATTGAATTTAAAGAGCCCGTCGACGGAAAGAGCTTAGCATCAACAGTCAGGGCTTTTTGGCACTGATTGATAGCTCAGGGATTTGAAAAAAAGATACAATTAAAGCAACATGTATTTGGGAAAAGATTGCCTTAAAACACGTACAACTTTAAGTGGGAGTTTGAGTCTTTATCAATTTCAACACTTACATTCCTGGCTTGGATCTAATTAAATTATTTCTTTGCACTTTTTAAATACCTGAAATAGCGCTACTTCAACTTGAATCATCGAATATCGCTGAGTGCCCTATTAGCGCTTTTGCGCAATGCCCATGCTTAGTGATAAGTTTATCATTATTGATGGCCTGTTTGTCCGGGCGCTAACTGGACGTATAGACCAGAATAGATAGAAATAGAGCAGAATGCTGCCGCTGACCTGACCCTGTAACCCCAGCTGCCCCAGCTGCCCCAGCTGCCGATGATTGGCTGCCAATTGTCCTGGTCCGTCGCCTGTCGCCTGTAGCATGCAGCCTGCGTTGTGCCCCACAACCCATTTTGCAGTTACTGTGCTCCTGGCTCGGGTTTTGTTTCGCCTCCAAAACGGGGCAGTGGCACGTGGCAGCTGCAGTGCGTCAGCAGCTGGGCCAGCAGAGTGGCGATGGCCAGCTTCAGAGTGGGGAGAATGGCGATGGTGATGGTGATGATGCGTCGGAGGGCTAGGTGCCGTTTGCTGATGATGTTCTAAAATAGAACTGCAATACTTTTACTACGGGGATTACGTAGCATGACGCATACGCAACGTTGCCCACCAACCAGCACGTGTCCAAACAAGCGGGCTAAATACATACATATAGCTTATGGTATGGCAGGAACGGGGGACTAATGGCCAGTCGATGGAGCACGGGAATGGAGCACGGGATGGGGGAATGGCAACCAAATTGATAAACTACCATTGGCATGGTATGAATTTTGATTTTACATGCGAATGCAATTTGGCCAGGGCCAATTGAGGGGGGGCGGGTGGCTCGTTGAGTTATGGCCATTATGTGCTCGCTGGGACGAAGTGGCAGCACGATCAGCTGAATCTAATCAACAGCACCAGCACATGGCACAATAAACCCTCCGCTGCACCAACCCGCTGCTGTTGGTGCAGCAAGGACGTGGACAACTCCACTTGACAATCCTTGACGGGCAGGGCCAATCCTTTGCGGGGAGGGGGAAACGATAAACGGCGAAACTACTACAGCGATAAGCATTCGGCCATAAATTCCCATTTTCGACAGCCAACAGCAGAATAAGAGGGAAATTCGCACTTGAGCCAAGCAATTTCCACCGACCATCCACCATCCACCATCGACCATCGGCCACTCTTAGCACTTTACCCACTTTCATTTCGCTGTCCGGGAGCGTAAACAAGTTAACAATGCATAATAATAACAACTTGAGCAACGGCAACTGTGCTGGAACTTTAAATGGCACTGGCTTCCCCCGAGCTGGGGATTCCCCGGCTGCCAGTGGCACTGCAAGTGGCAGCGGCATGCCCCAGACAGCTGTCACGGACACTAAGACGCCGCCAGGAGACGGAGCAACTGCAGCCACATCGAAGGCGGCCTTGTGCTGGCTACTGCAGCAGCCGCATCATGCGTAAGTCTTACTGCAGACTTGTGAATATGCGGGAAAACCGTGGTTCTTATGTACAGATAGGTTTTTGCTTCACAAATTAAGCAGACTAGTGGGCATTCTATGGCTTTTCAATGCGGACTCTTCGAACTTGCGGTCGGAAAAGGATTACTTGGACTTGGACTAGATGGGTTTAGACCACTTTTCAACTGAACCTCTCACATATTATGCATGAGCGGCACCTGCCCAACTTCCGCACTACTAACACTACCCAAATCCCTGAAGCGAAGTTAGCGGAAAATCCTGAAGTGAACTATTGTCGTAAAACGTTCATGGCTTTGTCTAAGTCAGTCAGATAGCTGCAGTTAATGTGATGACTCTTGTGTCGTAAGCATGTTGTTTCATTGGGTTTATTTCAATAAAACAAATGCTTAACAACATTATTTTCCTCCGAAGGAAGGAAGTAACATTCATGTTACGCTGTTTACCAGCATGGGCACAACTTTTCACAATTTTTACCATATAGACGCTCTGATTCAGCCAGTGTCAATGGACCGATTATGAACGAAATATAATCAGCTAAAAGCAAAAAAGAAAACACCTCGTAGTTAATGTGCACTGTGTGTGAGGGATGCTAATGTGTACCGATGACCTTTCGTCGCAGGAAAATGTTGATCGCATCGCCTGGCGGTGTAAACAAAGCGCTGCCCAATCAGTTCGTTGACGCACTTGGGCTCTGAATTTGCAAAACAGAGTTTCGCTGTTTGTTATCAATGCAAATGGAAGGCAGAACTTGCGAGCTCGCCCAGAAACATTGCTCATACGCGGCGTGTACCCATCGAGTGATGCAAATACATATCTCTATCTCTGGCAATCAATAATCTGGCACTCAATCTAACTATTTCACTATTTCACTGTTTCCCAGGCACTGGTAGCGTATTTTTAGATCCTCTGGCGGTGACAATTAACCCATACAGGCGAAATTCATTTATGCACATATTAGCCTATTTTTACACTCGACGATCCGTCGGCAATACCCTCTAATTAATCCGTTTAGTCACCACTCTGGTTTTTTTTGGTTTTTGTTTTTTGCGGAAACATGACAAACGACAATCGGCAAATCTGAAGCTTTTGACCTCGAATTCGTGCATTTTAAAATCATTATTACATATTACAATTCCAATTTGGTTACTAAGTGGGGTCCATCATCTCTAGGCGCTCATCGATTGGGAGTCAGCAAAATTCTTGGCTGGCGAATTGGGAAATGGGAAAATTAATTATTGCTGCGAAATTCGTTGGATGTTTGCGGCGTGTGTTTTGTCTCAGATTTATGCATTCTGCTCGGATTCGGGTTGGCAAAAGCAACAAAAGGGTCATGCCAGCAGCCACGACCAACCAAGATGAACCAACAAAGTTGGCCAAAAAGAAGGGAAATTGGTCAGGAGGCGGGGCAGGACGAGGAGCCCCGCAGAGGATGCAACTTTTTCGCTTATTTGGCAAATGTTCAAGTGGACCAGAATTGCCAAAAAGGGACAGTAGAATAAATAAACGCACAGCATGGACACCCAGCACATATAAAAAACTGTCCCCACGCTCCCTTCAAAAAGAAAAGAATGTAAAAAGAAGAAGAGACTGCGGAATTAGGCCAAAAACCGAAACTGAAATGCTCTTTTTGCCAAACAGAGGGGGTGGTGGTGGCTGGCATAATCCCACCCAGCCATGATTAATCGACTTATTGATCCGGCAGATATTGAAACGTATTCAAAATATGTAGTTCGGCGAGGAGCAACGAAGATGGGAGCATGGAAAGTGCATAGTTTTCCAGCCATGATAAATCGAAACATCTACTGAATGGAAATGGAAGGCCCCAAAAAACGAGGGTATCTCAAAACATTTTGTCCCGCTAATGAG